AAGTAGACTGTACAGCAAGAGACTTCCTCGAGCACTGTATGGGGCAATGGAGTACGATCCTTTGTCATCTAGGCGAGCCGATACGGCTGCGGAATACCGAATAAGGATACGACGGGGTATTTTCCAGGGCGACTGTTTGAGTCCAATATGGTTTTGCCTCTCCCTGAATCCTCTCAGCGTATTACTGGGGGGCTCGGGGGGAGGATTTCAGCTTCGGAGAGGAGGGACAAAAGTGACCCACCTTTTCTACATGGATGACCTCAAGTTATTCGCCTCCAATCGCTCCCATTTGATGCGAGCGATTGGAGGCGAATTGCTCCCAATTGCTTAAAGTCACTTGTGATTTCAGCAATTCTATCAAAATGGAGCTCGGGACGGATAAGTGTGCGGTGCTTCATGTCGAAAGAGGTAAGGTCACTAATACGGCGGGCATAGACTTATCTATGCCCGTTAACATTAGGACCCTCTCTGAGGCTGAAACATACCGATACCTGGGTATGTCACAAAACATGTGTATCGACGAGGCTGGCATGAAACAGTCAGTTCATGAAGTGTTTTTTGCACGCCTGACAAAGGTGTTTAACAGCCATTTGTCAGGCGTGAACAAGCCACGCGCATTTAACGGCTGGGTCATGCCAGTTCTCATGTATACCTTTGGCATACTCAGGTGGACTCAAACTGAGCTCAATGCCCTGGACCGAAAAGTCCGCACAACTATGACGTCCCACAGAATGTATCATCCGAGATCGTCAGTGATGAGGCTGTACCTGCCGCGGAAGCATGGCGGGAGGGGCTTTTTGAGCGCCCTTACCATGCACAATCGCGAGGTGTGCAGCCTCCGCAACTACTTCCTGGCGAGATCGGATGAGTCAATCTACACGGACGTCATTAGTTGTGATAAAGGACTTACCCCTCTATCCTTAGCCAACGAGCAATGGCAGGACCCGGGAGTACTGAGCGTTTCCGACCGAGAGGCCGTATGGAAGGAGAAAGAGCTCCACGGGAGGTTCTACAAGGCTCTACACGAGCCTTTCGTAGATACTGTTGCCTCCCTTAACTGGCTACGTTTCGGTGACCTCTTTGGGGAAACCGAAGGTTTTGTCTGTGCGATACAGGATCAGGTTATTAAGACGAACAACTATCGGAGATACATCCTAAAGGATGGCACCGTCGACATCTGTCGAGCTTGTCGCCATCCCGGGGAGTCGCTTCGGCATGTTATCTCCGGTTGTTCCATGCTTTCTAACTCTGAGTATCTGCATAGACACAACCTAGTAGCCAGAATCCTACACCAGGAGCTCGCTCTGAAATACGGCCTCGTGGAACGGAAACTGCCGTATTATAAGTACTCTCCAGAGGCCGTGCTCGAAAATGACCGCGCCAGGCTCTATTGGGACCGGTCCATCATTACGGACAGGACGATTGTCGCGAACAAACCTGATATCGTGTTGATGGACCGGGCACAGTCGTTGGTATTTTCCGGGACGGATCGCTCCAGGCTCAAATGCAGAAGGCGGTGCTCCTCGATACCGCCCGCATCGTCCGCCGGTTTCTCTCCCTTTCGCCCTAACCCTCGGCCGTTTGGTCTCCCCTGCCGAGGGCTTCCGTCTGGTTGGGTCCTATTTATATATGTATTATATAATATATATATATATATATATATATATATATATATATATATATATATATATATATATATATATATATATATATATGTTTATTTTTATCCATAATATTTATTTTATATAAGCAATATATATCTATATCTTTATTTTTATTTATAAACCCAACCAGACGAGAAAACAAATGAATATCCCCCCATAAGCCTTATTTATTAATTTTATTATTGTTACTTTTAATTAGTATTATTGTTACTTCTATTTACATATTTCAAATTACTATTTGTATGAATTTAAATTATTAATAATAACATTACATATAAATAAATAACTTAATTTATTTAAATGAGAATCCCTTTGTAGGGTAAAGGCCTCCTCCATTTTTTTTCCTTTCTATTACCGCTTTCTATTACTATCTCCCGGTTTTGTTAGCCATTTGTCTCCTGTTATATGTGCTATTGGCACATTAAAGGTGGTTTTTATTTCTCTTTTCACTTATTATGTTTTTAATTTTTCTTGGAGGGTTGTAGTCAAGAGAAAAACCTATTAAAGTTTTCTCCCCCGCGGTGACTAGCCGTGTTGGGTCTTGAGGTGGTTGAGGGGTATTCGTTAATTGCTATATGCTGGATCTAGGAGTTATGTTTTTAGTGCAGTGTTCAGAATCTTTTCTTTGTCTCATAAAAGCTGTGATTTTATTCTTCTTTGAGGCTTGATTTTCGCGGCTTGTTTCCTCTTTATTTGGAGAATATATAAGTTTCGTTTCTTTGTTGTGGACCGTTCTGGTTTTTATTAGGTTTGTTTTCATTTAAAACAATTAGTTTGTCATATTTTATTATCGCTTTTTTACCTTCTGCTTTATATTTTAATACTTCAGCTTGTAATTGTTTCCTTTTCTCCAAAACTTTATATGGGTAATCTTCTTTATAGTATATATTACTATTTTTAATGTTTTTCTTGTTTTGTAGTAATAATATTTTCTTTGCAATGGTAGTGAAGGTAACTGTGGTCTAGTTTTTCTCCTTTTCTTCCTAATCTTTTTAATGATTATATTTCGTTTCGCTGACAAGAAATATTAATTTTGCTCATGTAATTTAGGATTTTATTTTCTAGCTGCTCATAAGATTTTTCACCTTCCTCAATTCCAAAAAATACCAAATTTTTCTTTCTGTTATGTCTCTCCATACGATCCAAATTTTTTTCTTGATTTTCTACGCTTTCATTTAAATAAAGATACTTTTGTTCCAATATTTTGAAGTTTTCACTGATATTCTTGTTTATGCTATTTGTAATATTACTTTCTATTTGTTTCATTTATCTTTTTGGTTCTGCTAGTTCAATTTGTATTGATTTTGAAATTTTTGTTATTTATTCCATGTTACTTGCTATTTGCTGGTAGATGTCGCTAATGTTGCGTTCTGCTACTGTGGTGCTATTGTTAATGTTTCATACTTTGATTTTAAGTGTTCTACTTGTTTCTAAATGGCGTTAGCTTAACGGTTCGTTGAAATGTCTTTGATCAATGATTTAATTAATTTTTCAAATTTGAATTTATCGGCATAAATTGATTTTCTTCTTTAATTTTTCAATAATCTTTTACTTACTGTTTTGTATTTACATTAGACTTGTTTGATTGTCACTTTTTCTTGAAATTTTTAATACCCGTTTTTATTTTTACATCTACCTCGTTTCATTGCACTGTTAAACTGTATTTGTCTTCGTTGTTTTTGATGTTTTTCCGATTATTTTGTTACTTTTCACAAGTGTTTACACAGTTTCTAGCGGACTTCTTATGTTTAGGAATGATTTCTGATCTTATTTTCGCTTTTTACTATTTTTGTTTACACTTTTATCACGGAGCTTACAAAATAGCTGTTTGCATGGCACGGTGGCGCCCTCAATGAATCTGCGCCATGGTCGTATAGGAAAGTTAAATTGATAATTACTGTGAACTCAGCACTCCGAACTATGTCCCGTAGAATATTACGTACCTGAATATCCTTCGCCTCTGTTCAATACGAGGCAGATTGAAATACTGACGGAATTTAGGATAGGTCAACGGAAATATCAAAAAAAAGGCAACTAAGAATATCAAAACTGAGTTATACGTGATTCAATTCTCTATAACTTCCAGAAAATATTCCAAACTTATACGCGCGATTTAAATTCTACATTAGGTACATTCTATAATAATATAATATACATTAAATATATTCTCAATCTATAATAAAAACGGAGAACGTTTTGAATATAAAATCTCTTTGTATTTGACATTTCTTCGATTATTTATTTATTTATTTATTTATTCGTATAACACTGAAGTTTTGGGGTAAAGACAGAATTTTAAGAGGTATTGCGACGTTTATTGAATTTTGGGGGTAAGGTTTTGTGAATATTGTTTAGTAGTGAGTTAGTAGTGAGTTTATGTAGTAATTACGTATTACATACATTGTAGTTTGTAGTGCATATGCCAAAATATCGAATATATAAGTATAATATATATCGAATAGTGAAGTTTTAATAACGATGACGCATGTGTTGTGGTTCCGCTTTACATTATTATATGACATATATAAGTGAATGTGATAGATGATTTAATCGTATAATACGGAAAGAGACATGCGTCATTTATTATTAATAAACATCATTGAGAATGACACATAGGCTATAATGTCTAAAGATACAAAGGTCTCTCAAAGTAACTCTGTCTGTCGGTTACGCCCTCTCGACGAAACTGCAGAACTAATTTTGATGAATTTTGCTATAGAGATAGGTGTATTGTATAAAGATAGAATTTTGGTACAAAGAGGACCTTAGACGAGAAAAAAAGATATTTGAAAAACTCTCACTCTATCACTCTCTCACTGTGGTAGAGCCACGCAGCAACCTCAGCTGTTCCACGAATGGGCAGACTCGTCCGGGTAAGTACCACGACCTCATAGAAGACCGGCGTAAAGTGGAAGTATAATACTTTCGCGTTTCGTTTGGTGAGTGAGGTGGCCGGAGCCCAATTTTCAAAAGGTTCTCAACGCATCTGGAACCCTCGGGTGTAACAGATGTCCATGGGTGGTATTCACTTAACATCAGGTGAACCGTCTGCTCACTTGGCAACTTTTCTCAGGAAAAAAAAACTATTCCTGAGCAGACGAAGTCGCGGGCGCCAGCTAGTATAAAATAACTAACAATCATTACCGCAAGTATTTTGCAGGGTATATTACTGGGTAAAATTAGAAAGAATAAAGCGTTGTGCCACGAAGTTTATTTTTTGATTTTATGATAATTTAAAACAGAAAAAATATAAATCACGGTTCATTTTATACAGAATTATCCTACAATCAACGGTGATACAAAAAAAGTTTCGCTTAAAATGGATGATTTCATTCAATTATTCATATTGGAAAAAGGTAACTTCGTGCACTCGAGATATTTGCTCATGTACTGCTCAGCTTCTTTCGTCATTTGATCGTCGAAATATTGAACCCAATTGCCAGATTTGCCTGCAAACAATGGGAATAAGGGTAAATAAATTGTTATCATCTGCTAAGAGTCATGAAAGTGTAAACAACTGTATCTATTTTCTAATGTAATCTTTAATAAATAACTTTATTTATGTCTAGTATCTGAATCAAAGTGTATACAACTTGTGATCGTTTAATAAGAGAGTACAAAGAGTAAGCATAGTTCTACCTTTGATAAACGAGGAGGACTATTCTGCTTAATTATGCCTTTTAATGTGCTTAGATGATTCAAACGATGAAATTATATTAAAAAGTGTAAACTTTTTGATATATAATCGCTTAATCGATTGCGAATAATTACTTATTTTATTATTTCTGAATTGATTTTGTAACTTTACCTTTGCGCATGAACTTCAGCTCAGGGTTCTTTTCTTTGTCAACCGAATAGGTTGGTTTCTTGTTCATATTTTCAAATTGTAGAAACTGAGTCAATTCCTTTTTCTTCTCTTCCGTATATTCCTTACCAAGAAATGAACATACTTTGTTTATAACACCAGCGAGATCCTGTAAATAATCAAGTTAATAAAATATTTTAGGCTGACGAAGAAAACCAAAGTGTCGCCTCTGGGAATGTCTGCGAAATGCGTGCAGTTATTATCAGTAGTACTTTAGTAAATGCGATAATAATTCAGGACATTTAAAATTATCTACAGGTTAAACTGCATCATTCGAAGCGCTTGGTTAACTAGAACAAGCGTTCTAAGGAATACAATTAAAAAATTGGTTAATTTTTTAATTTTCAGAGCTAAAATTTAAAAGAGAGTTTAATAAATAAATTGTCCAAAAACTTTCCGTGCTGCTAGCGTTCGAACCTGTGTGTTCTCGGTAATATGTCCAGACGCTCTGAAGAACTGAGCTAAGCAGCCGATATCCTCACGACGAGGAAATAATAAAATTGTTTGGAACTAAAAACTAAATTCTTACTTTCTGCATTTCTTCGTATAACACAAACATCATGTTGGGACGGTTACGTTGCTCCCAAGCTTCTCTTACTTGTTCCTCCAGTGGCAAGTGAAAAACTGTATACAAAGTTCATTAACTATTATTTGAAAATACTTCATAAGTATTTATGGTAATATTGAAGCAGCTATACCCTAAAATTCTAAAATGAACATAGTTTTTACTGTCTTGTTCCAATTTAATTTGTATGTATAATTTGACGATTTAATTTGTGTTTATGATAAATACTTAGATTGATTATAATAATTTATTGTACAAAGAAAGTTAAAATGCAAAATTAATATAAAATTTCACTTAGTGGTCTTTGAATTTATATTATGTTATGTTTTTAGGCTATTGTATTTAAAGTTTAAATTGATTATCTTTAAAACTCTGTACGAGTTTTATAGATAAAAATGATTTTGTTGGTTTCAAAGTTATTTCTATATGTCTACAAAATTATACAAAACTGGAATTCTATTAAAAATTAATGGGAAGTTGATGAATTATCGTAAAGCTTACTTAAGTTGTTTCTAAAGAGTTCCCAAAATTCCTTGAATTGAACACCTTGATCAAAGTATCGGAATAGAATGTGCATGAAGTGGTAAGAAACTGCCACATCTCGAGGATCTCGGGCGATATAGAAGACCTTTGCAACGTCCAGCAATTTTGGTGGTAGAAGTGACAGTGGCACGTGGGATTTTATATAACGCGGCGAAGGCAGCTGGGGCAAGCTCCTAAAGTCCTCCTCAGTAGCTTTGCGATTCTCGAAGTTGGGATTTGGAGTTTCTTTCTTAACTTCTGAGGATAGGGTTGGGTATCTGTAATAACAATAACATAACATATAACAGTTTTGTGATTCAAGTTTTCAATTGTTTGAAATGTTAAATATTGAATTTAAACATACTCGAGAAAAGCGTAACGTTTCGAAACTGGGACATTAGATGCCGTTTCAAAGTCAAGATCATTCTTGACTAGCCACACTAACTCTTGAAGCCACGTAGTGCCTGGGAGTGAAATGAGATATACAAATTAGTATTTTAAAAATCACCAGTGATGAGGGGACAGTGATTCATATAAAAGAAATCGCCCAAAATTTTAAAACTCAGTCTAGTCGAAATGAATCTTGAACTGACATAAATACTATAAGATGGTCGTAAAAATACACCTTAATTTTAACGGTAATAATTGTTTCGCACCTGGGTGTTTGTCCACGTGAAATTTATGTATGTAAAACATCCTTGCAACACAGGATAATGTTATCCTAAAGTGAGGGCAATGTTAAAAAAATTATGTGTCTTTTAAAAGCTCGTGAGGACATCTTTAGCTTTTAATAATGACAAAGTCAACTCAATGTGGACTACCATCATAAAGGTCAAATAATAATTACTTTAACTCAATTCATGGATGCAAGTGGGTCAGAATCGTGCTTCGTGACAGTCTGTGGGGGAGGCGTGTGTTTAGCAGTAAACTGGAATGGGCTGAAATGGGGGAAATGATGATGATTAAATCAATTGAAAAAAAAAAAAAATATATAATTTCGAACGTTACCTGATCGCGAAAAGCTTGTTACCCATATGTCGTCAGGTCGAACGTCTAACTTGTGAATTTCCGCAGCATGATCTGCGTACCCAGCGGGCCAGAGGTAGCCGTGGGGCCCGATTCGAACGAAGGGGCGTACATAACCTTCGAATAAAAAGAAAGAGTAAAAATATTTGAATTCAGAACAGTTTTATACTCTGTCTTTTTATTTTTAATTAATAAAAAGACTAGACTGCACTCAATATGAAATTATAATTTGTGATTTATATATATAATTACATATACTATAATTTTTATAATTATACTATAATTGTATAGTTTTTTATATTCATTTATTGAAAATTAGTGGATCTGAGGTCGAAACACCAACGTATATATATAATACCAATACCAACATCTAATGTGGACATTTGGCTTATTTTAATTTACACTATTTAATATTCGGGATTCGTTGCAATGCCAGGTAGAAAAATCTGTTTATTTTTTTTTGGTTTTGGACTACGGGTCTTTGCAGACATACGCATCAACCCATGAAAGTTATATAATATAAGGACACACTGTAATTTTTGTTCATAATATAAGTGTTACGCAGGCCAGTGATCCGAAAATAAGCTTAAGGTAACAAACCTGAATTTAAATTTTATTATCTACATAACAAAAGTTAAACTTGTAAGTGCTAAATCACTTCAGCTGCTTTTAGCGGAGTATACAGCACATCGAATGACTCATTATCGTATATTTAATATCGTAACTACCGTAAACGTTATCAAGATACCTTTGTAATATTTTTTGATTGTCGTGTCTTCTTCTTCGGTGACATTTTTGATAATCAACGGAAATTGTTCATTATCCACCATTGCTATCCTGTGTGTATTATTATATTTTCTGCAATTAAAGTACATACATTATGAATTCATTAATTGTCAAGAAATTGTCGGAAACAAATTCATATCAGTGATGACCGAATGATTTAATTTTTTAATGAAATATCTACCTAAAAGATGTATTTTGAATATATTTAAGAGAATGCAAACCCTAAGTTCAAAACATATTAGATTTACTTTATCCTAGGTTCCTCAACTCTGGCATATAAGCTGAGGCTTCAAAGTTTAAAGTAACTTTATGTTCGGAGCCTTCATCTTATTCTGCAGTTACGTTTTAAAACTCTATATGAAATTGGATTTACCTTTAAACTTATTTATACTTCGTAAGACTGGTTTGCTACTTACGTTTACTACCTGTCCGTTAGTCAAAAGTGGGCTTGTATTAACCTCACTAAAATCTCTGACCTGTCAATATATTTTAGTTCCTTTTCATGCTTTCAAGTTATTTTTTGTTAATAAACACGCTATTACATATTTTAACATTTCAGTGTTAAACAGAGAATATTGAAGCGGATCTTTATTAACTCAGTCGATTATTTTCTTTATTATTATTTACGTATTTAACGAACTTGTTGCATAATACCGAGCAGTGATGTGAACCAAAGGTTTTTGTGAGTAAGATGTTCGCGAAACCGCCGAGTCGTTGCCGTAAACTTGGTTTCGAATTCGAGAACTTGGACCGTATGTGTAATGCCCATTGGAGCTTGTATTGAAAACATCATTAAAAACATTTGTGCATTGTACCAATTCATGGGAAATAAAGAGAAAACATGATATCAGCCAAACACATATTTATTTTTCATAATCAGAAAAGTTATAAAGTGCTAATGTAGTTGCGAAGATTTTAAGATTTCGTACAAAATGACCTACATGTACCAATTAATTAATTGTAATTAAAAGAGGGTCAATATAAATAAAGAAAACACTTCCTTCGTAAACTTATAATAATGTTAAATTTTCTAAAAAAAAAAAAAAAAAAAAAAGTTAAAAAATGTAAATTTTGTATAAACTATTTAAAGGACTGAGCAGGAAAAATAATTTCTTGGTAGGAAAAATCAATAAATCTTACTATAATTACATAACGTTTACTGTAATTACAAATTTTTTCTCACTTTTTGTGGATAAAAGTTTAGTTTCAGTACTTATGCTGCAAGATCTAAACGCTAGTAGTCTGATATTAATGTATATATCATGGGCGGTTTATGTTTTAACAGTCTCAGAGAATAGGAGTGAATAAAACAATTCCATATTGTCGTCTAAATCAACTAGCCTACTTTCAAATGCAATTCACTAATAAACAAATAATCATCGCCGTAACCATTACGTCAGGTTTCATAGACCAAAGGTCCTTGCATATGAACACCGATTGCTCCCAAGGATGATTCGTTAGGCTATTGAAATTAAAAAAATATCCTTATTTCAATATAGAAGAAAGTTGAATGCTACCATTAAATTAAATCTAGGCCCAAACGAACAACTGTAAGACAAGATAAAATTATGCATTTTATTAGTGTGTTCTGAGTAGATGGAAACAAACATTAATATGTTATTATACATTAAAATCGGTGGTAGCCTGGATTAACAATGATACCTAGGCATCCAACGCCTCTCTGTCCCGTAACCATGAAAGCTGTACAGGGTTCGAAACGTTGGGAATTAAAACTTAAAATAAACGCGATAAATCCTTAAATATAATTTGATTTAGTATTGTGTAATCGCATAAATACAAGGAATTTTTAATGTTAATAATATACATAAATTTTACAATATGTTTGTTAAGCAAGTGCATTTAAAAAGAATATTCTGCAACATGATTGTCTATTTTTATTAGATCCCACACGTTTTTGTAGGATTCGCACCCGACTTTATACATTGGCAAAATATTCGACGTTGGTTAGAGCGAGAAAGTTGTACATTTGCACCTGTACTGGGCAAGGGCATTCCTACTTTCTTTTCTATAATAAGCCCGAGCAACGTTTGCCTAACTGTTGGTAAGGATCTCAATCAGGTATGAATACCAATAAAAATTTTATATAAATAAATTTAAAATAGTTTAAATGATTTCGTTTTATTATTTCCACTTTTTGTCCACTGGTAAGAATTTTACGTAAACCCATTAACTTTAATATACCGCACTTTCAAACACACGAATGCTATTTTAAGAACGTGACATAAAAGGAAACATTTAAATACATTTAAAGGTGGTTAAACAATTATCAATCTTAATCTGATGGCAAAAGCGTTTAAATTTTAAGCGTTCCGTAACGAAACGATTTAATTCGAAGGCTAAAACGTCTGGTTTGGGCACAGTGGTGCTCAAAATAACTAAACGCTTAACATGTTAGCTTAATATTATAACGTTATCATAATTAAAGTAATCATGATAAGAAATACACTTACCATGGAGAAAATGACGAGTCAATTTCTTTAGTATGCTCCCCGGATTCAGCTTGCACTACACAGCAATGCGATAAGTGACTAAGAGAATTACTGGAATACTCATAAGAACCATTCGAACAACCGATTTGTGGTCTATTGGTGGGGGATTCAAAGATCCTTCACCCATTTTATCTGTTGGTTGTAAGAGACGACGAAACGATTGCAGTTATTCTATCTTTTATGTGTAAGGGACTGTGTATTGTATATTACAGAACGTTATATGCTTATGGACTTGATCACTCAGTGATAATTATAATACATTGAAGAATAGTGTATTTGTATAGATTGGAGAGAGGATGTTTTATTATACGCGTATTTCATAGATATTTAGGAGTTGAAAGCCTTTGCATGTCTGGATTTATGTCTCTATACTTTTTGAATAGCCGCCACCATAGCTTAATGTTCGGGCGCTCGTTTCCAATTAATTGTGCTCGATCAACTTAAATTCAAGTCCCGGTGCCCACACTAACGCGTGCTCAGCGTTGGAGGAAACCATCGTCAGATATGTAAAGTCTGCCTATCCTCTGAGAGGCTGCGTTCTGGACTCATATCCTCTCTACAGAGGAGGCTTTTGCCTAGCAGTGGGACATATATAGGACGATACTTTACTTTTCATTACTATTATTTTTAAAGCTCTAATATTTATCTATATTTAAACTCACTATATTTATCGGACAACTTGCCATATTTAGTATGTGACTAATTAAGACTAAACAAGAGATTGAAAATTTATTTAATCATATTAAATAACTTATTAGAACAAAAACATTGTATATTTTGTTCATGACGAATTAAAATTTGACTTGGCGCCCTTATCGTTCTAGTGTTTTATGTTAATTTGTTATCAAAAAATAAACATAAAACACTAGTAAGCAAATGGCAGTGCAATTCGTTGTGTCGTTCGAAGCCTATGTTCAACAGTGGACTTCTTGCGGCTGATGATGATGACTAGTAAGTGATGATAGCAACTAAAAGGTTAACGTTAGAACTAAAATTTTATTATTTTATAAATTTTTTAACTGAAGTTTAGAATTTCATTTGATTTTCTCAAGGAAACGGAACGGGCTAACTTCATTAATTTATATTCAAATTGAAAATCCTTCAAAATTGTGTCAAACTCTTCTCTTTCTCAACGTCTTCAAACTTCAAAATGTTATAACATTTTAAGCATCGTTAAATACCAGTTTGATGTCACTAAAAGTATAACATTACTACATAAAAATACAATATTACTCTGCATGTTATTAAAATAGTGTGTTAAATTTTTATTAAAAATAGGAGTACCCCTTGTTGAATCAACATTTAATTACCAGTTTTAAAGATTGACACGTCATACATCAAGGGCTCTTCAAATGCGTAAAGTGATAATGAATCACACATGTAAGTCCGAACTAGTAAACACTTCGAACATTAGTCATAAAACGATGAGCAAGAGTTATTTAATACAATATTGATACCAATGACTTAAATGATAAATAAAAATATAGTAATATTTTATCCACCCAGCATTTATCCATCTAATAGAGGAGAAATAATGTTTTATTTTCGTTTACTAGTTATTTATATATTCGCCTCTCTCATTCGGTGTCATTACTCCACATTCGTACTTTCCATATTACACTATCCTGTTTCCTACAGTCTAGAATTTTTTTATGATCCACTCAAATTATATAGTTGTGCAAATGCAAATTTCATTGCACTGAGCTGATTGATACGAGGTGCAATGTATTCTCGGTATAGACATGAAAGAATAAGAAAAAAATTCTGCTTCTTCTGATGCAATAAAATTTATTTTTCAATCATCACTTCAATATACTTAATTGTACGGGAAAGTAGCTTTTCTATGTAGCCTAAGAAACATTTTTCTTCGTTGTCTGAAAAATGTTCATCAATTGCCGCCTTCAACTCTTCATCGTGGGAAATATGGTTACCTCAAAGATCTTTCTTGGGGTTTAGGAATAGAAAATAATCACTACGTAGAGCTGAACACAGGGATAGCTTAGTCCTTTCTGCTAATGTTTTGATGTTTTCTCTGTTACATGGGCATCTTCAAGTTAAAGTTTCTCAACGATTTTCAAGTTCTCTTTAGTTGTGGCACTAACCGGCCAACTGGCACGTGCTTCAGGGGTCTTCAATAATCTATCTAACCTGTTTGAATTCACTAGACGTGAATAAATTTTACGTCTTTCCTTGTTTTGTAAGAATTTTTATAAAAGCGTGATGCTGTTATTTTTTTCAACATTATTGTATCAGTCATCATAGTTGAATTTTCTTAATGATATCTTGAATACTACTTATCTACTACTATTATACTAGGTAGCATCAGATGAAATTTTATATTTATACCTTCTAAGAGTGTCTTAAAGTGATGAGATAATTTAATTACCCTCATCATTATAACTCCGATACTGAGAATACCTTGAAAGCCCCTTGTAATTACGAGATCGTATTACTTAAGCGTTTATCCCTTTTTAACTCCTACTTAACCTAAATGAAGTATTTATAAACGGTGACAAAGTTTTGGATGGTAAACA